AGGCTCAGAGTAGTCAGGAGGGGCGTGTTACAGGACAACCAGTGTCACTATATAATCTCAGGCTCAGAGTAGTCAGGAGGGGCTTGTTACAGGACAACCAGTGTCACTATATAATCTCAGGCTCAGAGTAGTCAGGAGGGGCTTGTTACAGGACAACCAGTGTCACTATATAATCTCAGGCTCAGAGTAGTCAGGAGGGGCTTGTTACAGGACAACCAGTGTCACTATATAATCTCAGGCTCAGAGTAGTCAGGAGGGGCTTGTTACAGGACAACCAGTGTCACTATATAATCTCAGGCTCAGAGTAGTCAGGAGGGGCGTGTTACAGGACAACCAGTGTCACTAACATATAATCTCAGGCTCAGAGTAGTCAGGAGGGGCTTGTTACAGGACAACCAGTGTCACTATATAATCTCAGGCTCAGAGTAGTCAGGAGGGGCTTGTTACAGGACAACCAGTGTCACTATATAATCTCAGGCTCAGAGTAGTCAGGAGGGGCTTGTTACAGGACAACCAGGGTCACTATATAATCTCAGGCTCAGAGTAGTCAGGAGGGGCATGTTACAGGACAACCAGTGTCACTAACATATAATCTCAGGCTCAGAGTAGTCAGGACGGGCGTGTTACAGGACAACCAGTGTCACTAACATATAATCTCAGCCTCGAAGTATAGTTGCGAGGGGCCTATATTGCAAGACAATGCAACACACAATTTGACATTTCTTCTTAATTGTATTTGTCATCAGTGTATGGGCCTATTATTACATGATAAATGCAAGCAGATATCTGCTATGTCAAACAATCTGTAATTGTTTTAGCCAGTTTATTGCATAACAACTAAAAAATATGATTTTTTTTATTAAAAAACTACTGAAAATTAGAGGAACGACAGATGTTTTCAGGAATTGTCAATAACACTGTTTATAGAACGGAGAATTATCTTGTACGATTGATTGATTGGATCATTGATGTCATAAATTCTGAGAGTTTTAGTTTCTGTATAAAACCAGAAAAAAATGTCCATTTACGACTATCGAGTCATGTCTGATGAGTGGGAAACATTTTTTATCGGCCCTCTGTTGGTGTGGCTGGTCCTTATGATGATTATCTAATGGTTGTCATGGTGATTAACTACAAACCCTCATTAGACAGAGAGACTTAAAATATTGTAACAATTACAACGTCGGTAGCTTATGTCATCATGTGTTTGTTTCATCTTCAGTGTGTAAGATCAATTAAAATGAAAGCAAAACTTGTGCCGAAACTTGCCATCACAGTTGGCCATGACAACTAGTATGTTTGCCAGTATGGGAGTCCCAGTCTGCTGTTTGAGGCAGTGTATGACTAGTTTGACAGTCCATGCGAAATACAAAGGGTGATTGCAAGACCGGCAGTAGTTTTTACCGGACATGTCCGTTGGACCGACATATTTCGCATTGACTGTTGTCAAGGGGACATTTGTCTTTGTCCTTTTGACAAGGTCTTAAAATAATTGTGTATTATTTACCTTTGGCAGTTCTTAGTCAGTGGTTTGTTAGTCAGTGTTTTTGTTACCTAAATTTTACATTATTTGTATTAAAATTGGGAGTATATTCCTCAGTTTTGGGTCATTTTGGGAAAATAAGGCACTTTTTAGCCAGGGGAAATAGCCTGTATTCGGCAGTAAAACTGAGCAAAAAAAATCACTGTTAGTGAACTCATAACTTGTACAGATGTCAATTCATGCCATGCATAATTTGTCTGTGGAATTAAAAATAAAACAAGGAGACCTGCTACTGTTCATTGAGGAAAGATAATGACTGAAGGCCTCAGATTCTGAGGGATCCTGTTACAGATAAAACTTTGTTTTCGTTAGTGTGACTGGAGGTATTACTGATTTATAAGGAAAATTATATATTTGTGGTTTTGGACCGTCTTGCAGTTTCACTTTCAAAACTCTGTTGATTTTTTTCATCATTTCTAAGCTCTATAAGCTTTCATAAGGTAATGTATTCAAATGCCAGTAAAACAAAAATTCCACTTGTTAGAGTTTTTGGCAGTGTTGTTTGGATCCTCAACAGTTTACTACCTGTCAACAGTGTAGGCCATCAGGATTCTAACATTTCTATTGATACTCTTGCTCTGCCTCCTCCTGTTGCACTACATAGAGAATGTTATATATGTTGTGACACTAGAATACAGGTCTAGATCTGGTGACCACCATTATGACGTCACCGATCTGTTTTTGACAACACTGATCTGCCTGTTCGATGAACTTTTTGAACTGATGTGCACTGTTCTCACTAAGTTAAATGAAACTGGTAATTGACTTTGAATGACCAGCTGAATGTTTATATGTTTTAATGTTTGTCTATCCATATTCCGAAAAAGTCGCTAGTTCTAAGTTGATGAATAGAAGGATACTTTTGCCGACAACCGGGGTTTTATGAGAACACTGAATTTGTTATTTACAAAAACAATTTTCTGGTAAGAACTTATAACACTTCTGAATAGAAATGTTAGCCTACCGACCAACATCTTAAACAGCATTTTATGAAAGGATGATGAATTCCTTCGTGTGACTATATATATGTACAAATTGCATCTGTGTCGGACAGATTGCCTGATGTTGGTGGTTGTGGGTGGGTATTAGGGATTGTATGCTTTATAAGCTTGGTTATTAAGTCGGCTCTGTGCAGCATACCATATAGAATCAATGTCCGGAATTGGACACTGAATTCAACATAGTAATACCATATAAATGTTATAATCCTGGTCATCATGATAAATTCTATCTGGTAATTATTTGTGTATAGTAGATATGTCAACATATATAAATACAGCAGAGTAGGCGTCATGGAGGTCAACCTCTAACTTGATGTGTGCAGGACAATGGTCAACACATTAATAAAGCCAATGTCAGAAAGGTCAAATCTAGTTGTTCAAAACAGGATTTCCTCAATGACACAAATCAGTTATCACTGGGTATACTTAACATATAAAACTTATTTGTTCTACAGCAATTATGAAACAAGTTATTTCAACTTATCCTAATCACTCTTGTTGGCCCGGGTGTTAGCGTGTGGGGGTCTTAGTGTGGGAGGAAACCGGAGTACCCGGGGAAAATCCTCGTGGTCGGACAGGTGACTCCATACCTTTTCACGTCCGTTTGGGGAATCAAACCCTGATCGCATTGGTGAAAAGCAAATTCGCTATCCACTGCACCACCCAACTATATTTAAACATAGTGTGTATGCAGATATAAAATGAACACTTGATATAAAGGAACTTTTTTAAATTGCAAATTTTAAGATAACTTGTTTTCAGCTTGTTTAACTATAGCTAATAGCATACATGTATACTGACATGCTTTGATAAAGAACGACTGGTGGTGATCATATTTCAACATTGTTAGCTTGGATTACAATGATATGGTTCTTAACTAGATAACATTTTTTTAACTAATAGCAACAGCAGCTAGCTGTAACAAACTGTACTTCTTCAGAAAGAAAAATGCTAAAAATGTTGTGCAAGAACTCTAATTTCACTAATTTATTAAATTGAAGAGTTTCATATCCTAAACATGAATTTGGAAATGGGCTTATAAGTGCCTCTAGTCTTTAAAGCTGGGCCATGGTGGTCAAGTATTTAAAGCGTCTGACATTCTGCTACCACTAGCCCTCCACCACTGGGTCACGGGTTCGAGACCTACGTGGGGTAGTCACCAGGTACTAGCCGTAGGTCGGTGGTTTTTCTCCGGGAACTCCGGCTTTCCTCCACCACCAAAATCTTGCACTTCCTTAAATGACCATAGCTGTTGATAGGACGTAAAACACAAACAACCCAAATAGTCTGTTAACCAAATAGTATGACAGGAGATAATGGGGGTGTCAGGGTGTAATATAGCGAGACCAAGATGTCAGCATGTGACAGAGAGATGTGATACACCAGGGTGTGTAAACCTGACCGAAGATATTCAGGGGTGTAACATTACTAGGGGGCATCAAGATGTCAATGTGTCACAGGGGGATCCAGCATGTGACTAGATCATCAAGGTGTTAGCTAATGAAAAAGTGACCAAAGTGCCAGGATGTGACAAGGGAATAAAATGTCAAGAGTTTGACAAAGGTTTCAAGGGGTTAGCAAGTTACAAGATGTAGGGTTGTCAGGATGTGGTGTTCAGTGGGATCGTTCTATAAAGTAACTCATGAGCTTAATGTTTTTTTCGTCTGCTGGGTAACCAAAATATATACTCGGTGGTGAATCGGAAGTTAAACCACATAAACAAACAACAATGGTACTTTCTGCACCATAAACTATAGCTGTCTTTGCGTTACCTTAGCTTTACACCACAAATAAACAATTTAAGGTACAGTAGATATCAACTCGTTCACCCCTGAAGTCACATTTAAACTCTTCCAATTCAAAGGATGGAATAGTTCATTATGAAATTTCAAGGGTGAATGAGTTAACTATAGGAGGAAGTGGGACAAAAATTATAATAATCAAAGGAAGCAACCTTACAGACAAAAAACCCTTGCATGTTATCATTCAATTAGTAATTAATATTTAATCAACTTACGTAACAGACTGTTTCACGGCAGTAGATGATTTTTAAGACAGATGTTTATGTTCTAAAAAAACAATGCATAATTATTATTTAGTTATTTATGATTGTAATGGACATGTAACATAACACTAATCGCCATTTAAAACTTCATACTAATTACATGTCAATATGTACTTTTAGCTAAAATGGGCATTGCACATGTTACAAGCCTACCTGAACACTGTTCGGTATTACAAAAAAATGAAATATTGCATTGCACAAATATTTGATAAACATATGTTACGACTGCTATAGTGTAATAGGTTTAATAGGCTTGATCGTTCCAGTATGTTGACAGTGTAATCAACAGTAGACAGAACGGTGATCGTGCCTTACGAAACACGTCGCCACGGTGATCAATAATGCACCAGCTCTCAGAATCATCAGTGTGATATGTTACTTCTGTTTACAGAGTCTATATTGAAATAGCTGGAGGTGTCTCACGCATTGCCTTGTAACTCCGTGTAAGTAATCCCAACCTGTGTGTGTGTGTGTGCTAGATTAATATAGTGTGAAATTATAAGGATTATAAGTGCACAATCATTTCTGAAAATGTTGTATAATTTCGATTCAGCTAATATTTGCTCTGTTTTGAAATTATTCCATCTAAGATCATTACAGATCCCGAAACACTGCTAAATGTTAATGATGCATGGGAATCTCTTTTTCTTATGACAATAGCTTTGAATAATCATTTCTGAAAAGAAACCCATACTAAGTGGAACTTTTATGAAAACAATGATATAGAAATTAAGAAAAGAAGAATCAATAGTTCTGAATGTGAAAATACAACAGATCCAGACCAGGATTTTTCCTCTTGATCCATGTTCATTATACTGACCGCATAATCAGTTCCCTTGGTCAGCGGTATTATCCAGGCCCTGGTTTGATACAGTTATATCAAAAACAAAATTCAGGGGAGGTTACTGTGTTTACGAAAAACTACATAGGAACTCTTTAGTGTTTTGTCTGATTGTGAAAGAGATCTGTCTCTTTAAGGCATTGTCTTATATGATATACTTTATTACTGCCCTGTACCGACCTGGTCCACCCACCTCATCTTCATCTATTATCACTCCTACCTTCACATCCAAACTTAAACAGGTGTCTGAATATAACTAATTATCAGGTTAAATGAACATATTTCTGTGGTTCCTGTTCACATCTTATTGTTTGACATTGGAATATAAAATACTCAAGGCAGTGAAATGAAGCTGTAACACCTGTTTAATACCAGATGGAGCAACAAGGATTTCGTCTTCTGAACCTTTTTCATAAATGTTTTGGCAGCCCTTTTAGAGCAAAAAGAATGCATGTCACAAAAATCAAGTAACTACAATTTAACTGCAGAAATGCATAATCGGCGTAATTAGGTTAAAATGAAGTACATAATTTTCAGAAAAGATTGTGCAACTGATCCCAAGCTAGTTTGATGAGACTGCTGTGTGTGCAGGCTAAATCTGTAGTTCACCCCTGCAGACACATTTTAACTCTTCCAATTCAAAGGATGGAATAATTCATTATGAAATTTCAGGGGTGAAAAAGTTAAGCAAAAATGCTAGATTTCTGCATGTGTTGTTTGAAGCTAGAACCTATTAGCCCACATTAACTGTTGTGCATGTTAGAAACTTAGAATTGAGTCACATTTTGAAGTAAGGAGTTCTCAATAAATCTTTGAAATCGGTTTGCAGTAAATAATTGAGTGTTTGTAGTAAATGTTGGTAGCAATAGGTTTGTATATTTTGAGTGTTTATGGTAATATATTTGAGTAAATGGAGTTAAAAATAAATGCTTGATTGACTTTGGTAATTATTTAAGTGTGTGTAGTAAATGATTGTAGGAAAAGTTAGTTTGTAACAAATATTAGAGTGTTTGTAGTAAGTGTTTGTGTTTGTGTGTTTACGTAGTAAAAGTAGAAAATATGAAAGTGTTTTGTGAACTTTGTATTGTAATAAATGTTCAAGTGCAGGCTTAACTCATTCACCCCTGAAATTTCATGATGGACTATTCCAACCTTTGAATTGGAAGAGTTCAAATGTGTCTTCAGGGAGGAATGAGTTAAATATTGAGCTGGAAGTGAATGTTTATCATGATGGAGTGTTTGTTTTATTAGTAAATGTTTGAGGGATGGGTTGAATTGTGTTTTACATGTTTAATCATTTTACTCAAAACCTTCGCAAGACCACTCATTTAGTAGTACAGACAATTCTCCTGATATGTTCACTGAATTGAAATGTAGCATGAAGCTAGTACATTTTATTGAAGGCTAAGATAAAGGATCCTGTGTACCACTGCCAAAAACTAACTTTTCAATGGAAACTTTTTCAGATGTTTGTCGATCTTTGATCAATCATTTCTGAAAAGAAAACCAAATAACTTTGTGGAACTAAAAAACCCAACAACAATGTATTGAATGTAAAAATTTAAAGGGGCCAGACAAAAAATTTGAACCTTGACCTTCGACCATTACCCTGTCATTCTGGTACTGAGATATAATTGCAAAATGAAATGAAAGGGAGGTAACTGTGTAGTACAGAGGAATTCTCTCGTGTTTTACCTTCAGTTGGACATGGATCCTTAAATTAAAGACCAATTTTTCTGTGATCTATTAAGATAAATTTTAGATGTCCTTATTACATGTTTTTCTATACAAATTTAAGCAAGCACTTGTTGAAAACAGATTCTTGACAATTACATCGGCCAAAATATTTCAATATTGTAACTATATATATACATTGTATGTAAAGGTAGCTCATTGTATTTATACAACATTTAATGATTGCTCATAATTCAGTACACTATTAACATCTAATTCTCTGCAGAAAACCTTTTTTTTTTATTCTATTTTAATTAAATCATGTTTTATTTAGTTTGCTGGTTTGAATGTCCTTTACAGGAATGATAACCAATTGGTAGTGTTTATCACCTGAATTTTTTTTTTGTTAATTTTGCACTCAGAATATGATTTATACATTCATAGCCGTTAGCTGAATGCCAATATTACCATACTAATATTTGATTTTGTGACGGTGAACAGAATAGATTGTGACTTGGGCATGCGCAGGTCTGGCTAGAAATAATTGATTCTTGCATTGGAATTAATGGAGTTCTTTCAAATTGGTGCGGAAATAATTCCATCGAACATATTAGCAATTAACAGCAATAGGGCTCCTCATCCAGAGATTTCTGATCAAGGCAATAACTCAAGTTCTGATACAGCGGTAATGTATTCAAATTTCAAGCATTGTGTTTATTTCTAAGGGTATGAGGTCAAAGTTGCTGTTTCTGAAAACAAAAGATGGAAACACATTAGATTTTTTTTATCTGGGTGATAATTCAATTAATGACGGTCCAGATTGATTTCCAAATTCACTTTAACTCATTCACCCCTGAAGACACATTTGAACTCTTTCAGTTCAAAGGTTGGAATAGTTCATTATGAAATTTTAGGGGTGAATGAGTTAATACAAAGACAACTGTGAAGAATCTCTGGTATTGCTTTCTTTTCAATTTATTTTCCGTGTAAGTTTTATGTTTCTATTCGTTCTGACTTTATGCAGTGTGCAGTGCCTGAACTTGCTGATACGTAAGATTTAAGTTACTATATATATATTTCCAATTTATTTCTACTGGAATTTAGTGAAGGAACTAGAGTTCTGTGAGGACATCCTCAATACTCGAGGGGTTACGCTCACTTTCGCTGCACCCATGGAACATGTCATAGCAAAATTGAAGGCACAAAGATAGCTCTTTGATTGGTCTCGGGTAAAAAAATCCTGACCAATCGCTAGGCTGATACTTGTCCTTTGAAGATTACAAAGGAGCAACACCCAACTTCAAACCCAATAATTTTTTACTGTTACACAACATGATATTCTTTTGATGTGCATCAAAAGATCAAACTAGTACACTTTTCTCATAACAAGGCGGTGCACACTGAGCCTTCAATTTTGCTATGACATATTCCAGGGTTGCAGAGAGCGAAGGTGAGGGTATAATTAGGTATTGATAAGGTAGTAAATGTAAATGTCATATTATGTTGTATATATATATTTTTATGATTATATATCTGTGCCTTAAGTATTTCTACAGCCCCTTATTTTCACGGATGTGCTAAAAAGGTAAAATTCACAGGATCCATCATTCAGATTTCAGTCTTTGTGGCCAATTTGGGGTATGGAGCTAGGGTAGGAATGGATCAAGTTTCTACAAATTTCGCAGGTTGTAATTTAAAAAAAAAAAAATTATCACGAAAATTAGAACCCCACTAAAAACGAAACCTTTACAGTGTTCATAGTTGAGCAAAACTTGTGGAACAAGTAAAAACAATCAAGATGGTCCTTGTGCTACTGTCAGAGTAGCTTAGAAAGTAATTAATTACCTGACTGATCGTGTGGTTGCATGCAGACAGGACATAAATGTCTGTTTTTTCTGCATGTGCGATGGTTATCATCTTGAAGGTATCAACCATGACTTTTATTGTGAGTGGAGTGGATTGTTCATTACCGCAAATAAGTAGTACCAAGGTCAAGGTCACACGGCAACATTACCTCATTCACCCCTGAAGACACATTTGAACTCTTCCAATTCAAAGGATGGAATAGTTCACTATGAAATTTTAGGGGTAAATGAGTTAAATGAGATGAAGGTCGTAGAGTGGAACCTCATTACACAAAAACAGGGGATCTCTTGTGTTTCCAAATTTTTTATGGATTTTTAGGTCACCTGAGCTTTAGCTCAAGTGACCTATTGCTATCTGTTTTCGTCCGTCGTCGTCCGTCGTCCGAAATTTTACATTTTAAACTTAAAGTCAAGTTCTGATTGGCCAATTGAACTGAAAGTTGGTAGGAATGATCGGCTCATGGTCCTGACAAAGTGTTGTTATTTGTCAGGTCAATCAGAAATCCAATATGGCCGCCACGGCCGCCATTTTGAAAAACTATTTCAAACTTAAAGTCAAGTTCTGCTGGGCAGATTGAACTGAAAGTTTGTAGGAATGATCGACTCATGGTCCTGACAAAGTGTTGTTATTTTTCGGGTCGATCAGAAATCCAATATGGCCGCCACGGCCGCCATTTTGAAAACCTATTTCAAACTTAAAGTCAAGTTCTGCTGGACCGATTGAACTTAAAGTTTGTAGGAATGATCGACTCATGGTCCTGACAAAGTGTTGTTATTTTTCAGGTCAATCATAAATCCAATATGGCCGCCACGGCCACCATTTTGAAAACATATTTCAAACTTAAAGTCAAGTTCTGCTAGGCCGATTGAACTGAAACTTTGTAGGAATGATCGACTCATGGTCCTGACAAAGTGTTGTTATTTTTCGGGTCGATCAGAAATCCAATATGGCCACCACGGCCGCCATTTTGAAAAACTATTTCAAACTTAAAGTAAAGTTCTACTTGGCCGATTGAACTGAAACTTTGTAGGAATGATCGACTCATGGTCCTGACAAAGTGTTGTTATTTTTCGGGTCAATCAGAAATACAATTTGGCTGCCATCCATGGCCGCTATTTTGTAAATACCTATTTCAAACTTAAAAACAAGTTCTAATAGGCCGATCTCACTGAAAATCGGTCTAGGAATGATCAGCTCATGGTCCTGACAAAGTTAAGTTAACATTATACTTAACTATTTTTTACTCAAATTGGTACATATTTCAACAACAAAAATAAATATTGTAGGACTCAGGTGACCGTTAAGGCCCATGGGCCTCTTGTTATTTTAGATTACCACCCTGGTAAAGTGCTAGTCGCTTCCTACCAACTTCTGGGGAAAACTCCTTCAAAGAGCATTGGGTAGATCATCGACTAGTAAACCAGAGGTCCAACATCAATCCCTAATGGATATCATTGAACATTCAGTAATGACCTGCGAGTTGTAATGGTGCACAGGGAAATATTGACAATAAAGACTTGCGTAACGAACTGTATAAGCATCGCTATTACCTCTGGAACACTTTGGACAAGCTCTTTTCTTGAGGGTTGGGGTAGGGGGAGTGTGTGTGGGGGTGGTGAGGGTTCACCCTAGTTAAATTAAAATGCTAGCAGCTTCCTACTAATTCAGCTCTGAAGAATTTTTCTTGAGCCATTAGGTAGAGTATCAGACCGGGTTGGATCCCTGTCAGAAGCTTTGAAAATATTGACCACTATTACATGATTAATGTTACAAGGAGTCGTTACACAAAGGGAGTGTTACCTGTGGATGCAAGCGTCTGTAAATGATCAATTATTGTGTAAATTCTTTATCACGCATTTATCTTAATTGAAAGTTAAAATTGTTGGATGTTGTCTATCGGTTCATTAACTCATTCACCCCTGAAATGTCATAATGAGCTGTTCCAACCTTTGATTTGGAAGAGTTCAAATGTGTCCTCAGGGGTGGATGAGTTAAATATTGTCCATAACATAACTTTGTATCACACATACATCCCTCTGACACAGGTACATGAATTGATGTTCACTATTCAACAAAAATGCAAAACATGACCTTAAACCATAGGTCCATTTTACTTAACTTGCTTAATGAATGATGTGTAAAGAAGACATATCTCCTACCAGTTCCCCTAATCTAAAACAAAGTCCGAATCTCTTAATTCTTTTACTCAACTACAACCCTGTCGACTGATAAAACTCCAAAACAGTCATTGTAAGCGGTGCAGGGTGGGAATCGGGGGCGGATATGGGGGCTATGAGTGTCTGTACAATTTTAATTGTCAGTCTTTGCATTGATCACTAGTGTATATTTGTCTTGTAGAAATAACTGTTTTGGCATGCTGTACTTTATAACTAATACTGGTGTGGAGCACAAAAATAAAGGCTGATTTGGAGGTTAGAAATATTGACAGGCACATGACAGTCAGTACATACATGTGCTATACTCTTTGTCTCAAATCTAATTTCTCAATGTTTGAAAGGGTGAAATATGACTTTTGTGGATTTTCTGGTATAAAGTACAAAAATGAGACTTCCAGGATTACATCGCTAAGAAGTGGTAAGCTGTACAGGTCAAATAACAGCATTCATTGTTCCTAGTGTACATGTCTGAACGGTATTGATTGTGTATACATGTAGATATACTGCGCACCAAGACCTGGAGCAGTCTATAGGTGTACATGACTCACCAAACCATTCTCCTTGACAGAGTCGACTTGGCACAGTCTTCTGGGATGAAGTAAAATTGATCCTCAGTATAGGAAACGGACAACTTTTTATCAGTTTGTTTTGTGTTTTATGTACTATACTGCACTTTTTCTGTAGATATTTTCTTGTGATCTGCAGGAATATACATTTCCACTAGCCTGACACCTGCATAAGACTACATGATAACCAATATATCATAATAATCGATATCATAATAAGTGGGTTTCACTGTAGCACCAAAGTTATGTTGGAAGGTTCGTGAACATTTTCAATATTTACTTTGAAAATATAGGTTTAGCTAGTAGAATTATTCAAAATCCACCGACTGGGTGGTCGCTTGGTATGACATTGTATGAGATGAAAATAATCTTGTCAAAAAATACTAAGTTTTTTCGATTTTGTTGATTTTAACCAAGCTGTCCAGACTTAGAATGTGTGTGGCTAATTTACAGAGCTATATCACTTGATAATTGATTAAATGTGGGAAGTCTTTCGAATTTTTTTCAACAGAAACAAATTAAAATGTCTGGATAATAGAGGTATGATTCAGTCTTAATTATAGATGTCGAGAAGTGTTTAACTCCACAAATGTCCCTACTATGTGACGTCATCTGATTCTATAACACATTTACAATGTCACTTTTGTATTCAGTTGTAATAATTTTGAAGCTCAGATAGTATACAGATTTCCTATAATCCCAAGTTACTGCTGTCCTATATGGGGCGGTCAGCTCTATCCTACAGCAAGAAATGTTATGCATCTTCTATATAAATTGCCATATCCCTCCAGCAATAAGCCCATGCCTGGTAATAAGCCCACCCATATCTATATTCCAGTAGAAATTTCTAACACATGCTATTTCATTATCCTGTAATATATATGTCCTCTGTGTGCTTCGTGTGAGAATTATATGTTGGCCCCTCGGACTTATTGCAGAATAAATAAAAAGTAAATAGACCTTTGGTATGTGTCTGTATGTCTGTGTTACATACAAATGTAGTGGATGGCATGAAATATTTGTTAGTTTTTTGTCCCTTTGTACCACAACTTGGTCAGACTTCAGCTCAATTCCTCTTATACTAGAAGTCATCAAACTTCATATACTGTTATATCTGCAGGAATACCATGTCATCATTTCTACAAGTAGGTCAATTTGACCTATATGATTAATTATCTGCAATTTGACCTATATAATTGATTATCTGCAATTTGACCTATATAATTAATTATCTGCTTCACTGATTGCTTAGACTTTCCATCAATGCTGGTGCTCTGGGGGCATATGTGTGTTTGACAAAACACTTTCTAATTTTCAAAACTGACTTTTGTTGTTATTTTTGTCTTTTCAGATATGATGTCATCTACTCTAGTTGAGACTGTGTCCATTAATTATGAAGACTTTAACGATAGTTTCCTGACGTGTGGGACGTGCCTGTGTGTGTACGACCACCTCGAATGTTCACCCAAGCTCCTCCAGTGTTCCCATACAGTGTGTAAAAGCTGTCTACAGCGTATAGTCGAGGCTCAGCTCACAGACACAGGCTACTTCCGATGTCCAATCTGTCGTGAACACATCGGAATTCCCAGAGGAGGAGTGGCATCGTTTCCGCCAAGTTTCATCGTCAATCAACTTCTGGACCTTATGTCCCAACAACGGCGCGACGTGATACCGAAATGTTCCACCCATCCCCAGCAGGAACTGTTGTTTTGTGAAACCTGCGATTCCGTGTTCTGCACGCAATGTGCAGGTGGAGAGCACAATGGGAGAGGAGCAAGCGAGCACACTGTGATACCATTTTCAATTGCAATCAAAAGAATGTCAGAGATTTTGCTGTATAAGGCTCATCTTTGTATTAAAAACTTAAACCATGCTTATGACAATGTCTCGTCAGAGATGCAAAGTCTCGAATCATCTGTAGAAAAAACTGTAGAATTTATCAACCGTTCCTTCCAAGATCTCATTGCCTCTGTCGATAAGCGGCGACATGAATGCTTACAAAAGGTTCGCAAAGTCCGTGAGGATAAGCGAAAGATTCTCCGAGAACAACTTGATTTAATCCAGACTGAAAAAGAGAAAGTTCAAGCAGAATGTGATGGACTTCAATACCAGGTGGAGGTAAGGAACATTACCAAAAAAATTGGTGATTTAAACGAAAAGTTAGACTCAACAACATCCCTATCGGAACCAAGAGAAAACTCTTTCATTAAATACGAATTCAAACACAACAGCGCGCATAAAGACATCACGAAAGGTCTGACAGAGTTCGGTAAAATCAAAGTAAGCACCACATTCCCATCCCTCTGTACCGGAAAAGTCGGTGAAGCAATCACCCATTTGAAGTCGTCAGTCAAGGTGACAACTGTTGATTACCATGGCAACCCAAGAACCAGTGGTGCCGATCCTGTTACCTCAGAGGTGCGAACGGATCGTGGTGAACTCGTGGAGTCAAAGATCAGAGATCATGAGAATGGAACCTATGAAGTGCAATATGTGCCACCAAAAGCTGGCAAGATCAAGGTATTTGTCAGTATCTTCAATCGTCCAATCAGAGGAAGCCCTTTTGTGATAGATGTTTCGGAGCATAAAGATCCTGTGTGGAAATTTGGATCTCGAGGATCAGGTGATGAAAAGTTTGTGCAGCCTGTCCGAGTGGTCACGCAAAAGGCTGGAAACATTTATGTTCTTGACACGGGTAACAGTCGTATCAAGGTGATTGGTCCAAAGGGCGACTTTGTAGGACATCTAGGCCCCCTTGGCCTTGAGAATCAAAGTGGAACAGGACTGTCTCTCACACCCGACGGTAACCTCGCTCTGGTAAACTGGAGGACAAAGTACATTACTGTGGTAACCAAAGATGGAGAACTAGTCAAGAAGTTCAGTAACCCTGATTTTGTCGAACCGATAGACATTGCAGTTAACAGCAAGGGAGAGTTCATTGTCGCTGATAACGGTGCCAACAAGGTCTTCATATTCGATGGCAACGGAAAACTCAACACCACCTTTGGAGGTAAAGGGGATAAAGAAGGACAATTTAAACTAATGTGTGCGGTTGCTGTAGGCAAATGTGATGAAATTCTAGTCGCTGACCATAGAGTACAAGTCTTCAGTAAGGATGGGAAGTTCTCCAGGGTCATTCCAGACCAAAGCAAGGGTCAGTTTGGTGGACTCAATGTAGATGCTGGAGGCTTCATCCTCGCTACAAAAACAGAAAAGGGAAAAAGCTTCGTCCAAGTACTCAACTCGAGCGGGAAGCTGCAATTCTGTATCGATAGTTTCCATGACAAGCTTAGGCGTCCAAGCGGCCTAGCAACAACCTCCGACCATCATGTATATGTCGTTGACCTTGGCAACGACTGTCTGAAGAAGTACAGATACAAGTAATACAGGTGAGTTACAAGTTCTTAGCCCTTTCACCACTGTAGACCATAATGGACTCATCCAGATCAAAGAATGGAAGAGTTTACTCAAGTTACATAGGGGTAAAAGGGTAAAACTTTTTTGCCTGCTTTGGGACAGGGATTCTCAAAGGGTTAGTTTATTTAACATGGATAAACATTGATAAATACACACAGTCTAAAAACTGCAATTAACGAAAATAACATCTAAAAGTGCTGCTTCTATTCCAATTAAAAAACTTGATTGATCCAGCATATTTTGGATATTTGCTTTTTACCTCCATTTCCTGGTTTTCATACAACTTCCTTTATGTTTTCAGGTTGCAGTTGTAGTGAACCTAGTCATGTCATCTCCAGCCAAGTCATGGCACCCCCACACTCAAATGGACTGCTCTGTCTGATAGAAATTATACACTCTGTGAAGTAACTTGTGACAACAGTGGGACTGGATCAAAGCAAAGAAGGAGAAACTATAGTGACATTTTAATGTTTTCATGGAAACCCAGCTAAGATTTGCAGCTATAGTTTCTCGACTTGTTTCATGTGAACCAACTGAAGGTTAGCAGGAGTAGAACACTAGATGTTACATGTTGGTTACTACTGCAAACAAGTTGAAACCCGAGTACCACAGGCAACCACAATCATAACCAGTGTTACCACTGGCAACCACATCATAACCAGTGTTACCACTGGCAACCACACCATAACCTCACTTACTACTGGCACCCATGCCATAACCTCTGTTACCACTGGCAACCACATCATAACTTCTGTTACCACTGGCAACCACATCATAATCTGTGTTACCACTGGCAACCATGATGTAACCTTTGCTACCATTGGCAACCACATTTAACATTGTGTACAACACCCAACTACACTGTAGCCATAGTAACAACTACAGCAACCATATTGTAAAACTGGTTACTGCTGGTAATGTGCTGTATACAAAATTCCAAGTATTAAGAGCTAAAGGATGCTGAAATCCATCATTCCAGAATTCAAGGGATCTGCTTTCATTGTATTTATGAAATGTGAACATCACTGTTATATATATATATATATTCCAGTTCTACCTACACAAATCTTAGAGAGAGCACCTGTTAACATCATGTCTGTGTCACTGTACAAAGGGAAAGCACTCTAAATACAGGCCTAGTTAATTTTAAATGTTATTTCGTCATTTGTTCAAATGGCTGAGACTGCTATTTGGCAGAGTATTACAACTCATTTGATTTGTTGTAACAGCAGAGATTACTGAGGTATACAAAACATTTTAGGAACAGCTTTTTCAGGAAGAAGAATACTTTTTATACTGGCGGCAAAAGATTATTTTTTTTCTTTCCCCCCCCCCCCCCCCTCCCTTTTTCTTACAAATTTTTCAAACATTTAGTTTAACAAACAACTGGATATCGTATAATCGTATAGTTGTAATACTTTGAGCCCATTCCATAAAAAAAAAAAACCATCAGGAAATGTTTAATGTTCATGTACCGTTGAAAAGTCATACAAATTTGTCGCCAATTCCTTACCGTAGTAACACTCAATCAGCATATGCGTCGTATGTAAAGTAATTATCCTGTTTGCAATGCACATCATCTTGATTTTCTATTAAGCGATATTTCTAGATACTTTTATCAGGAAAAAAGTACTTTATAGAAAACAATTAGCTACCATCTGTACAGGACCCGGCTGTATTTCTGGGTAACCGTCCATACCTCTCTTGCACATTTTAAGTCAGGTTCTAACATAGAATTTATTTCAACACAATTTTTAAATATGTCGAGTTTTGTCCTGTTTTCATCTGGTGGTTACACGAGAATGTAGATGTTTTGATAATTATGAAAATTTCGCAGTGTGGAGATTGTTACTTTGGTCTGTAACTGTTACTTCCTTGGAAAGGTTTTTAGTACTGTTGGATTCGTAGCATCACCTTACCATGAAAATCACAAATATTGACATCAGCCAGTATAAAGTAATAGAATGTATATTGTATACTTTAACCTCTTCACCCCTATGTAATTTTAGTAGACTCTACCTTACATTGATCTGGATGAGTCCATGATGGTCTACAGTGGTGAAAGGGCTAAACTATGTCTTTGAAAACCAACGATCCTCTTCTCGATATCTGTATGTTCTTTACACCCTCGGAATATGTCAACAAGATTGAACGCTCTTTATGCGCCACCTTGCGGGTCATAAGAATGGACTATTCAAGAAACTGTTACGAAATCATTCATACCTTTGATCTCTTAGACAGATTATCAATGGAATTGTGTGGCAACATAACAGAAAAAAATATCGCCTTGATTTTGATGTAAAATATGTACAATGTAGGTACTTTGTAATCTTCAAATGATGCATTGGTAACAGCATCACAATTTGTCAGTTGTTTATGTCTTAAACCTTTCACCCCTAGGTAACTTGAGTAGAATCTACCATACATTCATCTGAATGAGTCCATTATATTCTCCAGTGGTGAGAGGGTTAAACCAATGAAAATGGCTGACAGTGAGCCGTCAATTTTGTCATAATTTCTTCCAAGGGGTGCTGAAAAGATATGTTTATCAAAAGAGGAACTCTTTTAGTTAGAAGACCACCAAACTATTCCAGCGAATTATTCACATTACAACACTCCATATCACACATCATCCCTGTTGTGTACTCTATGTGGGCGCGTCACTGTCATTGTAAGGTTGTGCCATAATTATAAGTCTTCAGAGTAAGCAAATGCTATTATGCATGTATATTAAATTATTGTGTTCATATGAGCCTGAAGTCAAAATAACAGCCATTTCATATGCAAGGGTTGAACTGCTGGAGCCCGAACGTCATATCATGATGTAACTTATAAGCATTTGTCAGTACATTTTGTGAGTGATTTGTCAAATTTTTTCGCTTCATTTTAGAAAAAGCTACATTTCGTATTTCAACAAAGGAGCAGGGAATAGGATTTTTTCACGATTAATATATCGGTCCGCATCAGTGTGTGTCCATTTTTGATCCAAATAATCCCGAATTAGACTTTGGTTTGGTGATAGATCAACTCTACTAAATCATTACTGTGATTTTGTATTCTCAAGACATTTGAAACAATTTTACAAAAAAAATCTTTCTGGTAATTATTGCAAAAATTTCTCCTGAAATGTAAGTGCTTTAAAATATTTCCTTTTTCTCTGTGAAAAAGTGTCATCCATAAATGTAATGTTGAATTATTTGACATTTAGTTGTCATTGCTGTAGGTTAAAAAGATTATGTTTGATATTTATTTATATGTCATTTTCATGGTGAACATTGTGAATTCAAGTATCCAGCAAAAAATAATTTAATATCTAGAATGTGTCGGAGAAACATGTTAATCGAAGTCCTCACAAATACGACCAGATAGATAACATGCAAAAATGTAAGTTTTCTTCGCATCTAAGTTAATATTATTTTATATGTTGACAGAAATTATATTTTAGCAATGTGTGAAACAATTTAATTAAAATAATGATGGCTAAACCAGGACCATTGAATGCACATTTAGTACAGTATATAGAAGTTGGAAGTTGAATTTTTTTTGAAGAATGTTATATTATTTCGTAATTTTTTATTTGCAATAACATGACAATTGGATGGCAAAACATTTGCATTGAAGATTCAGAGAGCGTAAACGATGGAACAGTAAGTATTTAGAAGGGGGCCCATGCCAAAGACAATATTTTCGCTGATCATCTTGTGTATTCATTGCACAGATATGTTTGTATGTCAATCTGTCAAACAAGGAAAAGGAACGTGGTATCTTCATCATCAAGTTGTTCATTGGCTTAGTATGATGTACATTTTTTATCTGCAACATTTTAATATTTTTAAACTTTTAAAAATTAACATGAAAAGTATAACTACATCTTATAAGGATAATTATAGCAAAGGGCAAGCAACTTCAAGGCATGATATTTTTATTTCATCAAATTGGCCAAAGAATATTTTGCAAACATACCAGCGGTAGTTGTTTCAGTGGTACTGTCATTGTGTTTGAGTGCTTTTCGTGCTTATTTGAACAATAATAAATTATGATAAACATGAAAACAAATTTATGTTAATTTAAAAATTGGTAAATGATGGTGAACACTTAAAATCATGATGCATAGCAATATAAAAATGCGCCGACAATAGATAATTCTTTTAATTGCTGGATAACCAAACTTCGTGGTAGTGAAGTGGAAACTAAAACAACAAAACAAACTCTGAGATACATGTAACTCGTAACGTTTTATTTGAACAACTAGGCCCAAGGGTTAATTGCTGAGGGTAGGTTTTCCTTCCCGAGGGTTAGCTGACCTTACCCAGTGTGTGTTGTGAAGTAACAGATATGCAGTATGTTTTTTTCGGTGACATTTTATAATGTTAGTGGTGTATGCTTTAGATTTGCAGTTAAAAACTGATTTGCTGTTCAGAGTAAAAACTTTTATTATCTTTCGTTTCTATTTTTTGGTGTTCTTTTGAAAGTGTGGAATTTTTTATTGTCGGGGAAAATAAACAAAGATATTGTTTTGCCTGCATCAGGTAATGCGTTAAGAAGGGGGAGTACATTTGTGTGAAAACATACAGGAACCATGCCCTGTCAGTTTGTTATTGAGGCAAGCAAGTATACATGTACTGTCAATTCAGCAAGTTACTCCGCTAAAATGGAGGATAACCGCAAAAATGTGATTATGGTCAGTTTTAGTGTACATGCTTACATCAGTCCAGAAAATGTGAGAATTCTTGAAAGTTGATGACGTGCTGAATACCCCGAAAATTTATTAGTATATTTGATAACCAAATGGTCTGTCTGCAGTAAGATGATTCTACTGTGTAAGGGAGTGCTGTGAAATTGTTGTTCACTGACTACACAGGAATAGGATGGAAAGTGTGCATTATCATCCGACATACTATGGTCCAAGGGGAATAAGTCATATAATTCAAGACTATTTCATTATTTCAATATGCTTCTGGTCTTTCTTTTCATTTTATATCAACCTGTCTATAAGGGTCATCTGCCTATGAAGAGTTTTGATTTTCCCTTTGGGTGGTCTTTATAGATGGTTTTGTCTGTTCTAAAAGATAGTGAATGTAAAAGTTAAGTTATCCAAAGAACCATTTGTGGTAAGGTGCAGCATTGAACGACAGGCACGGCGAGCCTTGTGTTGGAGATTGTGTGTTGTTTACACTTTGTGTAGGTATGTGTTTGTGTAGAGTAAAAGAATTAACAGCATTTTAAAGTCAACATAAATATATATATTCATGTATAGCATTATCATTTCTGTCATTTTATGCATTACATACACTGGTAATTTATGATTTCATTGAAATTTGAAGTAAAAAAATCTTAGTTTGAAAAAAATAAATTGTTGTGTTTATTATTTGTTATTTTTCCTCAACAAGTGCAACCGTGGTGGAGGGAAGGTAAGATTGCACCAAGTCTTTCAATTTGAAATTCCTGTATGGGCCTTTTACATTTAAACAGTTTAGTGAATCTGTATGAAACTTTGGAAATAAATAATATCCTGACAAATTGACATGGGTCCTTACTCCCATGGTCAAGGGCACAGCAAATGGTCAGATCTAGATGGCAAATTGTAATTTGTGTCTACTGACCATAAATTTTGAAAGGCATATTTTTCTTGAAATTAGTTATATATCATGACTTGACTCCATGTCAAGCACACCTTTTATAAACTCATATAAAAGTGTAACAGTTGTATTAACCTTGTCTTCTGAATGGACTAGTCAGAGCCATATAAAGCCAGAGTATCTCTGTAGTATATATAAACCAGGGACAATACGTCCCTGATATAAACATTCACCGATGGTTGAATCTGACGGCACAGTGCGCCCCATCTTCCTTGTTTACTTCCTCTCAAGGGGTCAAAGTTTAAAACTTCAGTGACAAAAGTCCTTCACACACTGCATGGAATCATTTCAGAGTTATTTACTTGTAAAATTTAATTTTAGATGGTTTGTGTTTTCGCCACCCTGGCTTATTTTCGTATTTTGATAGATTTGCTAATATTGCTTGTAACGCGGCCTCGTTTTGAATATCGTTACATGTGCTTGCTGGTGACCAGCGGATGGCTGGCTTAAATGTTTTCTAATCGGACAAAAATTAGCGAAGTTTGTCCATTGTGATGGCATCGAGACGTAGACGTGGGAGGCTGGAACGAAGAAGAAACGGATGATTTCCATGACTCCATGAAGGAGCAGACCGATGACCCTGAGGCCATCGTGGGTGATGGTGAGTTACACCAACTGACCATACAATTGAAACAGATCAAGACGGCGAGACGGAAAGCAAGAATCCCTGCCCAAATCGAGGAGGTGAGAGAAAAACTATGGGAAATTACTAACGTAAATTGAAACAGTCCCTTGCCCGTTGACAGGCTGATATCGACTTTATATACCCCCGCAACGAAGTTTCAGGGGGTATAATGCATAATAATGGAATCACTTTGTCTGTCTGTCTGTTCAGCTGTCTGTATGTATGTTGTGTCACACCGTGTATCCCTATACAATGAGCCGCAACAGGCAAAAATAACGCACAGGCAAATTTATCAAGTATGAACAATGTATGTGAAGTTTTGAAAATAATATCATAGACAATTTTCTAATAGTCTTAATAACACGTCCGCAATATATCTGTAGGGTTAACATACTTTAGCGTTTCTGATGATAATTCGAAATTATACTCGCTAAATATAACCACGGAAATATGAGTACGCTAATAAAATGTATATTTACAATATTACTGGAACCACGCTTCATTAAAAATGTACGATAAACGCATACACACATGATCTATAATATATATCCTGTAGCAGCACTTGTTTAATAAGGGCGGTTTTGGTTTTAAGACGTTGGAAGTTTTAATATTATTCTTGTAGAAAGCTTTATAACATCCATCCCTAATTCATCAAGGTGTTGGACAGCCATGTATGTACACTACCTAGCTGGGAAAACGTATAGCGTGCGTTAAGTCTAAGACATGACAGCTTTACTATATAAAGTGAGGTATATTTGCAAGATTAATTGAGTCACTGCTGTTCTTATCCAGTTTCGCTGACATTCTGCCAGCTCGGTCACTGGTGACGTTAGTGTTATGTGGGAATAACTTCCCCCTGTTCACCACTGTGGTCCTTACATTTATATAGTATACACCACCATAGCTCACCTAGTACTCGTTATAGCAGTCTTTTCGACCCCATCGTGATTGAGAGCATTACGAAAAAAATCTCTGTCTTTCCGTTTTGATGGTGCCCGCATATGGAGCAGCCTGCCGAACGAGTTACGGAAAGCAGAGAACTACTCTGATTTCGGCAGACTGATCCGTATGAGGGAAGGCCCTGAATCCGGAACCCTATCAACAGACTGATACCTGTCATTTGAAGATTATAGAGGGGCGACGCCCGATTTCAAAGCCAAACCGTTTTACCGTTACGCGACCACGGGATTATTTTGATGCATATCAAAGGATCAAACTATACTTCTCGTCTTGTCCAAAAGACGGTTCACACTGAGCCTTCGAATTTGCTATGACATATTCTAGGGGTGCAGAGAGCGAAAGTTAGCGTAACCCCTGGATAACGAGGGTGTTGGGGGATAATCCTACTGTATTTTGAGATTTGCGGCGGTATATCGTAATTAAATTGTCGCAAATTGAGTTTTACTGGCGAAAATCAATTTTCAAATGTCTCTAAACATTTTTTAGGATTATTCCACCATCGTTTGCCACATTTTAAAATAATGCAGTTTTAGAGTATATATAATATATAAACTTTATTTATTTACAACAATTATGAAACAAGCTATTTCAACTTATATCAATCACTCAATGTTGGCCTGGATGCTAGCGCTTCCTCGTTTGGAGCACAAAATCCCCTTCTGATCAAGCATTCGAACTAGCTTTTTCGCATCTAATGTAGCAAACACCGCTGCTTCTATTTAGGGAGGACATATTCGGAGATTTAGGGGTCCAAAAGACGGCCGAATATGCACCAATCTCTTGACTACCTATTGGAAAGGAAGACCGGTATGATCCCGATATCAAAAAGCAAAAAGAAGCTCAAAAGGATTTTAGCCACGATTATTCATATTTGTTTATATATTTTAAGGTCATGTGATGCAATAACACGTGTAGCCACCGAGACCCCGTCTCTCTCGGTTCTTCTATTTAATGACGGTGAATATAGCGAAATGACCCCCTCCCCGAAAAATACCAACTTATACCAAATACACGTTTTTTTGTTACGTAAGTTAAAGAATAATTTTAAAGTATGACCAAGAAATATCCTCTGCACTTAAAGGTTAAATATAAAATGAATTTTTTGTGATGATGAATATGATGTGATACAAACTTGAACAAGAACATAACGCCTTCACCTGTATCGTTTTTCTAGGACCCATGGGTGATGCTAAGGACCAAAACTGTTTTTAAAAAGGGCGAAGTAGCTTCCCAAGTAAAGGATGCTAGTGTGATTGCGAGAAAAATATCAAGAACATAATTTACCATGCCTTTATGAGAAACAATTATTGACTTGTGTAATGTAATTTTATTTTAGACACAACTAATATGGATAATATGAGTTCACAGTCTGACAAACAGGTTGACATTTACATCCAGGCATCTAGAGAGGAAATTTGTGGACACGGTTTCTTGATACTGCTATTAATAAACCAGTGACCCAAAACCGCCACTATGACGTCTCAAGTACCATGTGACCGGTTAGCTCAAAATACAATGGCAACAGTAAGGAGCGGTCACATTGGGTTGCCTATATGTAGGTAATGAGACACTTCTGAACGCGCGTTGAAGGATGATTCAGTATGCATTAAAGTATATTACAGGTTTCGCTTATTTTAACCCCCCAAAAAAGAGTAAATTATCTTGGCAAGGAGGACAATTAGAATGTTATTAAACAAAGATAAATACTTCACCGAATGTTTATGAAAATCTCCCAAAGGTTCCAAGTCCATAAATACTTACATTCACAAAACCAAAAACTCATTCGTTGCTTAGTTGTATAGTTAAATTAACCTTATGATAGTTTATTGTTGTTGTTTGTCAATAGAAGCCATCTCTTTGTTAGAGCAGATCGTCAAGATTGTAAAGGCAAAACCAAAGAATTAGAAATGAGGCCAGAAAGTAAATCCACAAAAAGGAGTCTCTAGGTGGTTTGCCGGGTCAGGACGACGAGGTCGGAGATTTGCAGAATTTATGTAGGGTAAGGACATTTGCTAACTGTAACAGGGGTCATTACTGACCTCCCGAAAACTGCCTCTTGGTCGCGAAAGATGAAAGAGCTCGCAATGCTATATTTGCACACCAAATTTTAAAACGTAAATATCTTATTTCGATTAATCAAAATGTCTTGTCCATCATAGGTCGTAGTACCATAATACACCTATATGCATAATTTTTTCACAATTGGACAACAGATAAATTTCGACCAATCAAAAGCGAGGATACGGTGGTCATCTAGTGCAGTTTAAAAATAATGTCACGAGTTCGCAGTGCCATATTATATTTACAAACAAACTCTGAGCGAAATCGCAAAATACCTAAATTCCAACTAATCTTCATCAGACAAATGACCAGTGAAGCGTATGCACACTACATTGGTCTATAGAAAAAAGACCCATACGGACCAATACCTGAACTTCAAATCTCACCATCCTTTGCACAAGAAGTTGGGCGCCGTACGCCCATTGCTCAACAGATGTGATACAATAGTCGCAGAACAACAGGACAAAACACAAGAGCAGAATCACATCGTTAGGGCAATGAGAACATGTGCATATCCGGAATGGGCCCTTAAACGGGTATAAAAACAGTGTCAAAGTAAGGGGAAGAACAAAAAAAGGCCAATTAAGGATAAGAACAAACCAAAGGTCAAGTGGTCATCCCGTATATAAACAGCCATGAAGCCCCACAAGACGTTTCGCAATATCCTAGTAAACCCTAAGGTTAAAATACCAAAAGAAAACGTCGCAGAATGCGTATACAAAACCAGATGCAAAAACTGCGACGCATTGTATATTGGAGAGACTGGAAGGCGATTAGGGGTCCGCCTTGGTGAACACCGGAAAGATACGGAAACCCAAGAAGGTAGGAAATTCACCAGATCAGAAAGGAAGCAGTCAGTCCCAGATAAATAAATCGGCAATCACAGACCATGCCACACAGAAAAAGTATGTGATTGACTGGGATAACTCCAAAGTTTTGGACAGAAAGAGAAATCTGTTCAAGCCGCAGATAAAGGATGCCATCTGGATACGCCGCTGTGGGCCAGTTCTCAATCTTGACGAGTGGGCTCAATGACTCTCGCACATCTATGACCAAGTATTAAACAAAGCGTAGCTGAATCGAGTCATTTCGGTACATTTATAACAACTATTGTACATTCGCTTACAGCGTAGCCGAATCGACATCGATTTGTGTGGACAACTCGTACACAGTTTACACCTTTGTGTGCAAACGCTTCACTGGTTATTTGTCTGATGAAGGTGACAGTGTATATATCGTACTAGTCATCGAAACGTCGCATAGAAAATTTTATTGGTTGTGTAAAAAACCTTTTCATAATCCATACTTACCAACACGAAGAAAATGTTTAGAAATATACTCTTCTTTGTATGTACATATTGGGCACTTTCGGTTCGTCGTATTAAAACGTTGTAGTTAACAGCAGCGTTTAGAAACCGTGGCCGCAGATCTCCTTCGTGCTACTTGGATGAGCATATCAACCTGTTTGTCAGACTGTGAACTAATATCATCCATATTACTTGCATAAAAAAGCATTACATAAGTCAATAATTGTTTCTCAGAATGGCATGGTGAGTACCTTTATATACTAGCGGAATAAAGAAACTGTGCATGCCTAAAATGTGTTATAAAAATAAATGTGTATGACGAAGAACAACAAGGTTTTCAGGGACAATTCATTTGTTATTTATTAACAGTTGCATTCCATTTTCCACGTTATGGAATCAATAAGTTTCGCTCAGGAGTGACGTAAACACAGCAGGGGTCAATACTGAGCTCACAAAGTTAATATCTCGTATGTCCACCGTTTGCCTGAATGCAAGCCTGGTAACGTCGACGCATGGAGCCTATCAGACGGTTCCAGAATGCTTAATGGATAGCATTCAAGATCTGTACCAACGCTGCAGCCAAATTAGCCAACGTCACCGGTTGATCAGGTAATGCCCGTAATCTGCGCTTCATTTCAACCATGACGTGATCAATGGGCGACAGATCGGAGGATACAGCAGGCCAGGGCAACACATCAACGTTCTGCTGGGCCAGAAAGTCCATAGCGACACGAGCTGTGTGTGGCCTGGCGTTGTCCTGCTGTAGCGTAATGTGACGTTGCTGCCCTTGCACGAATGGAACGACGCGGGTCCGGAGAATATCGTAACGGTAACGTAGCGCATTCAAATTCCCGTTAGCAACCACCAGAGGCGTTCTCCCGTTGGCTGTTATGCCGACCCAAATCATAACGCTGCCTCCGCCGAAAGAACGTCGTTGTACCACATACGCGTCACGGAAACGTTTTCCCAAGCGACGATACACTCTCGAACGGCCGTCACTACTATCCAGGTGGACTCGCGACTCGTCCGTAAACAAAATGCCTACCCAATCCCGTCGAGTAAATCGCAGATGCCTTCTGCACCAGTCCAGACGTGCTACACGATGACGTGGCAGAAGAACTGGGCGGATTGCAGCACGTCGCGGACGGATAGCTCGTTCACGCAATCGGTTCCGTACAGTTCTCGGGCTTATTGGTAGCAACCTAGGGATTGTCCGTGCAGTCAAACTTGCCGTTTGGAAGCGATTTCTCAAATGGAAAAGCCGAATATGGTTGTCCTGTTGACGTGACGTCACACGTGGACGTCCCGCACGAGGTCGATCGCCGACGTGGCCAATCTGTTGATGTCGTCTCCACAAATCCCGGATGGTGTTTCGATGGACATGAAAACGTGTAGAGACAACGGCTTGGCCCATACCAGCTTGAAGCATACATGTACCAATAACCCGGAGGCAGTCATTTTCATTGAGCCTTATAAAACGTTATAATGCTGTTTTTACTGTTCACTGGTCTCAACAGAGTGACCCAACAGTTTGAAAAATAAACTTTCATTGTGGAATTGGATGGCTGGACGAGAAAAACGTGCAAACTGGTCAAAGCTTATAGAGAGCAAACTGCACGGGAAAACTGTCAATGACACACGGATAGTGTGTATGTGTCATACTCGGTCATGTGTGTGAATTTTCATGTATATACAGTTGGTAATACATGTTCTATAACAATTCTCCGCATGCACAGTTTCTTTTTTCCGCTAGTATACAATCGCCTGATTGCAATATCCACCGACGTCATCAAGCAGGACCACCTCTCGAGGGCTTTTCGACTCCAATCCTGGAACACCCTAAAGGTGGCGAGTCGACAGTGATTGGCCAAATCACTGCCTGTCGATGGATGGCATCCAGCTCAGGTCTTCTCTCCTCAACCAGAGCCAACTAGACGACTTCTCTGCTGTTGTTGAGAGTCGTTGTATGGCTGCCCTTCCCCTGATGCCTAATGCCGTGTACTGTGCCGGGAACCCCCTGCATCCCATCTCGACAGGGAAGGCCCAAACACTCCATCCTTTTGCCCTCACATCATCAGCAAAACTGGCGCACACGCATTTCCCAAGTCTGAGCCCCATCCAAAATCCTTCCTTTGTGGGTTGTTTTCTTGGCAGTCTCCCCGGATCTTACGAAGTTGATTACGAAGTAAATTATATTCTTGATATTTTTCTCGTAATCACATAAGCATCATGTACTAGAGAAGCTACTTCCCCTTTATTTCAAATAGTTAAGACGCATTTCGATTTCCAACTTTTCGGCCTCTCGAATCACCAGTGGGTCCTAGAAGGACGATACAGCTAAGCGTGTTATGTTCTTTCTCATGTTCATATATAATAATATTAATAATAATAATTCGAGATTCTTATATACCGCTTTATCACAGACTAGTTCGTAGGTCGTCTCAAAGCGGTTCACAAATTATTTTCCGTGATTATAGTGCCTTTGCAACCAGTCATTATCTTTCTAAACTCCCTGGGGAGCATATACAGCCGGAGCTGCCATTTCGGCGTTAACAGCTAGCATTCTACAATTCTAGCACTGCCCAACCACGTACTCATTTACAGCTGAGTAGACTGGAACAAGCGGAGTAAAGCATCTTGCTCAAAGATACAACACAGTGCCGTGCCGTGACTCGAACCCTCAACCCTTCGGTCACGAGCCCGGCGTCCTACCACTAGACTACCGTGCCTCCAATCATATCACATCATATTCATCATCACAAAAACTACATTGTATATTAAACCTTTATGTGTAGAGGATATTTCTTGGTCACACTTTAAAAATATGTTTTTATTCATTTATGCAACACAGATACCGTATAGTTGGTATTATTCGAGGGATTAATTTCGCTATATTTACCGTCATCAAAGTATTTGTGAAAAAATACTAGCCACCGAATATTATGATATATACACAAACATTGGTACACGTATTGACCTGTTTGCCCTCGAAAAATGGAGACACAATTACAGTACTATTTTCATATTTCATATGTTTGTACAATAAATTCCATTAACAACAGTTTTCAGTGTGATGCTTATGTTATTCTTATAGGGATTGAATGGAGTTTTTTCCTTTACATTGCGGCAATTAATAGCAGTAGCTGATCTACATAGCATGTGAAGCGCTTTAGCGCTCCTCAGAAGATGTGTAGATCAGCTACTGCTATTCATTGCCGCAATGTACATGAAAAAAAACCCATTCAATTCATATATTTACGTTAAGATGAACTACAATACACAAACACTATTTGTAGATTTAATATTTTTAATATGAGTATCGGTCTGAAAACCGTCAAAAAAAGGGACAGCCAGAACTCCAGCCTACACAGAAACGAAAATATATATAGAATCTGATAATAATCAACACTTGATATTCCTTTCATTTTTGAAAGACGACTTTATTCGATGTTTTTTTCGCATTAACATCGTATATTATATATTTTAAAAAGGTTATGTCCGCACTATTTCGAATCATCGGTCACCATAGTAACCATCCAGGGCGCTCGCCGGCAGTAGGCAAAGAGCTCATTTGAAGTTAAATGTACAGCCGTTGAATGTATTGTTTGTCAAAAAAAACCTGCAGATGTAAATGATGATAAGTTGGTGGATGAAGTGCCCTGTGTCATTACAAAGTTCTCTGAGTTCAATGTTCAAGTTGATGTCATGGGGATTACCCAGCCGGACGTTTATCCAATTGTTTAAAAGTTTAGTGCGGCCACACTTGGAATATGCCACCTGCATATGGTCTCCAATGTTTAAAAAGATCAAATTGCCATTGAAAATGTCCAACGCAGGGCAACAAGACGCCTACCATTCCTAAAAGGACAATCCTACAGTGAGAGACTTTGTACGCTGTATAAATAATATTTACAAGTTTAAATGTGGGTTTTTTTCCTGAATTGTGACTTTTATTTAGCTTGGAAAATAGAGTTTTATCATCAGTTATTGGATTCTGAAATTTAGTGTGCATGTACCTCAATTATGTTTGAGAAATATTGGAGGATTATTAATTTGTGATAGGGATTGTTTAATGCTAACGGAATGCATTATTGAATTTGATATACAGTTTGGTGTGGCAGCCATATTGGAATGTCCTTAAAATGTAAGTACTTGATTTTTAGCGTTATTTTTATTGCATAGCTTCTATTTATAGTATCGGCAGGAACCTCAATACTTTAAACTCCTCAGATACATCTTGTGCATGATACTGAAATCACGTGGGTCCCCTACACTTAAAACATAGTTACTACACCTGCACAAGTGACTATATAAAGGGGTCGTGGGTTTATCTACGACGAGTATACTAGTCGTGACAACTCTAGCACGCGTACGTACACTATTAATCAACATGGCAAACCGTGGAAACTGGTCTAACCGCCTGGAGTTTTTGTTTTCGTGTATAGGAGTTACTGTTGGTCTTGGAAATATATGGAGATTTCCGTATATCTGTTACAAAAACGGCGGAGGTAGGTAATATTTATCTTTAAATAAGTTACAGTAAGGACTCAAATCATATGTGTTTGACATAACAAAATGTACAATATTTACAACAGGGGCAGAAATATGATACATAGCACACATGCACACATACAATTTAAAAGGTTAGGGTAAAAGCATATCACGTATAAGATAATGATATCACAGAAAATAAAACATTTGTCACATGTGTAAGTATGAAATTAATGCGTTAATACATGTTATTCAAAGCACAATTTAAAAATTTAAAAAGTCAAGAAACACATATTGTGTCTCTTGTACATATATGCCAATATGGCAAATCGTAACAATTGACAAAATATATGTCCTCATATCACTTGAGTTCAGACCAAACAAGATACTACATGACATAAATAAACATGAAAGAGCGTAAATGAAATTATAATTTATAAACACAAAAGTGATTACTTATTCTCGGTAAATAAATAGTATTGAAGTGCTTTCTACACTCTGATTTAAATCTACTGAACTTACAAAGGTTCGGACTATTGTAAGAGTTGTTTCTTTTGTAAGATTCATTGTTATTGTTGTAAGATTCGTTATTGTTGTTGTAAGATTAAATGATGTTGTTGTTGTTTATGTAAGATTGATTGTTGTTATAGGATTTATTGTTGTTTTTGTTGTCGATGTAGGATTAATTGTTGTTTTTGTTGTTGATGTAAGATCAATTGTTGTTTTTGTTGTTGATGTAAAATCAATTGTTGTTTTTGTTGTTGGTGGTGGTGGTGGTGGTGTCGTTTTGTCGTTGATGGTTTTGGTGTTTGTTTTGGCCTGCTGTAGCCGATCTAGTCATTAAACCCATTCGTTTTGTTTTCGAATCTGAAAGGCAACCATTTTAGCTCGCAAACCTACCATTATATAAACTACCACTGCATACACTAGTGTGTTTTTTTATCACTAACAAACTTAAAAATTAAATATTGATCGAGCGACTGTTCTTTCTCCATCTTTAACATAACAGGATAATTAAAACACCAATGAGGTTTGTCGCTATACATTTATTTTATTTATATATGAGTTACGATATAAAATCACAATAAAAAAATTGATAATAAAAATGATGTACATAGATAAAATACCATATTTTACAATATAATATAGGTAACTGGCGTTGTAAAACTTCTTCATTCGATAGAAATATGAGTTTCAGTTTGACAAAAAATAAGAGTACCGAAGTGTCAACAAAACCCTAATTCGAACTGAAAATCAATAGCACTAGAGCAAACTATGGACAAAGGAAAGATTTACATAGAAACCATTGAAAAAGTAACTCAGGTGTTCCGGAAGGATAAGCGTGTTTTGCTTCATCGATGACACCCGCCAGGTAAATTAACATAATGCCACGTCCTAACATCGAGAACCCGGGTAATAACAGCCAAACCATATTGCACTGTAATGTGTACAATCAAAACATCGACCTTCATATTGCATATAGAAATAGCATATTTGTAAGCAAGATCTTTATGGCGACCATACAACCTGCGCATAGTATTTATCAACCCGTGTCTTAGAAATTCCTGTGTTGTAACTTTCCCCGTCAGCAGTAGACATCTACCATGCAAGTAATGATATTCGGAACAAGCCCTTTCGTACCGAATCAACTGCGATTGATCAACGTGTCGCCATCAAGAAAAGGAAATTCACGACCGAAAAGTTGAAATCGTCCCGCTCATCATACAGCTTAGTAGTAAGTAAATATCAAAGAAAGCAGCTAAAGTACAAGAGTCTGTGATGTCCTTAATTTCAAGCTATGTAGGGTATATACAATCGATGCGGTCAATAAATTTCTTGTTCTTGAAAGACAGCACATCGTCGATGTATCTTAATATGAAAAATGAAGGACTTGGCTAGGTTTTGTTATCACTTCAAAGGTCCTCTCTACGAGGGCGTGACATCATTTACATTAAATCTAGATTTACATGGAGGGTTTCGTTGAAAAATAAGAAGTCGCGCACCCACCCGGAAAACGTATTTTCATTTTTTTACTTATATATAAAGCTGCTTTATGTTAACATTTTTTTTTGTCATGGTTTAACCTAATTCTATAGATTTTTGCTCAAGTTATAGTTTTGTTTGCACTTCGATATTACCTTGTTTGTCAGGAGATAAAAGCGTGAGAAAAAAACAGGCAATGATAATAATATTACCGCCACTGTCACAAAAAAGTGCTGCCAACAGCTAAGGTTATCATTTATGTAGTAAGGTTATCATTGTTTGTCTACACATATCTGGTATCAATGTTTAACTTTTATTTTTTTCTGGCGTATAGATATGGTTACAGACACTGTCAGCTGAGACTTAAATCATCAGAATTTCCCACAAATACTTTTTGTACAAAGGTCATTTGATATGCTGCTATTTGTTGCTTGCAACCCAGTATGTATTGTTTGCCTTGTCATTTGTGAGAATGCCCCAAGTTACCTTGCTCTTCACACAGCTGTGACATGTACATTTCCATTTCCTGTTACAAAAATCTAAAACATCGATCTAAAAATATACCAACAAGACGTGAATTATATATTTAGAAATATACCTTGGTATTGATAACACATGTGACTTGCCTGGACACATCTTGACATGTACTGATATACATATATCAAATTTCATCATCCTTATATAATTTATAGGATATATCACAACATGCTATCAGACATCAAAATATAAATATACAAATATATACATAATACGCCTTTAAATTTCCAAGTATATTTAAAAATTATTGAAATAACACATAAATAGATCTTTAAACGCGCTAAGCTAATAATTCCGGAATTCTTGGTTCTGTTTCACCTGAAATGAGATTCGCGGGATTGTAAAAAGAATAGTAGATTATGAAATGGAAATTTATATAAATGTATACGAGAACATATTACATGTATCTGCACTCGATATAAGACGAAATTTTACGAAAGCCATGTGAAGTAAGATGCTATATATATAAATAAGTCAAGTCATGGTTAACCGTTGGACATCTAAACAAATTGTGACCAAACCGATGGAAGCTCTTACTTATATCAATACAAGAGAACTTCCGAAATACAACACAATAACATGCAACACCAAGGAAGTCAAAAACAAGGAAAGGGGAAGATGGTTAATTCGTGAAACGGCTACATAATATAGTATGGAAACAAAAGAAAACACAACAAAGGTTAGGATACTTGGTGCAAAAGCACCGACAGAAGTAGGTATACCAAAACATGTCTGTTAAAATTAATATCAAAGAATAGATAAGCGGAAGTCTCTTCATGAGCAATTAAAAACAATATCAACAAGGAAATAGATTACACTATAACGAAAATTAGAATCGCAAATGATAGACATGGGGGGAGAGAAAGGGATATTTAAAGTAAAAACAAAAATGCATATTGAAAAGTCGTAGAATTGCTAAACGTTGTCAGATGTCGACAAGCGGACAAAAGCATGATAAAGTTGGGGAAATCAGGAAAGGTTTACAATGAACAAACGGATGAGTATTTACAATAAGAAATTCTGTTCATCATTGGAGATACAATGCAAAAATTCCTACTTCAAGATAAAAAAGATAAAAAAAATGGTATTCTTTATAATAAAGCTATAGTCCATCTCTGCATTCAGAAATATGTCAAAAATTGCCAGGAACATGTATGATCATAAAAAAACAAAAATGGTTTTCCGAATTACCTTCAGCAATATCATATGTATTGAGCACACAATGTGTTAAACTTTGTTAGTGATTTATGCAGGAGCCCGAACTCGTCGAAAGAAAATGTTAAGGACACGGGCGAAATAACTGCACTTATTTCACTTAAATCGCCCTAGTTTTAAAGATTTTGGCTACAAATGACTGTTTGTTTGTGTTAGTGACATTAAAAAGTACATTTAGTATAACATATTGTTATATACTCATTTGTTAGTAACACATCTTTATTCAAATGTATTTGTCACTGACATTAGAGGTTTATTTCTACTTCAGGTGCCTTCCTCATCCCGTATTTCCTGTTTTTGATTATTATTGGTACTCCGGGTATATTCCTACAGTTCACCTACGCGCAGTACTCCAATCTCGGACCGGGAAAAGTATGGGAATGCTGTCCTCTATTCAAAGGTTTGCTTTTTTGTGTCCTTTTTGACTGGTGCTATGTTACATGTTCTGGAGACACGGTAGTCTAGTGGTAGGACGCCGGGCTCGTGACCGAAGGGTTGCGAGATCGAATCACGTCACGGCACTGTGTTGTATCTTTGAGCAAGATACTTTACTCCGCTTGCTCCAGTCTACTCAGCTGTAAATGAGTACGTGGTTCGTCAGTGCTTGATTTGTTGAATGCTAGTTGTGAGCGCCGAAATGGCAGCACCGGCTGAATGCTCCTCAGGGAGTTGAGAAAGATATTAGCTGGTTGCAAAGATCCTATAATCACGGATAATAATTTGTGAACCGCTTTCAGACGACATAAGAATTCGGTTGTGATAAAGCGGTAGATAAGAACCTCGAATTATTATTATCATTACAATTCAATTTTTAAGGATAAGTTATTTACAGTCCTTTCTGAAGTAATGTGGGGATTAATAAAAAAGGGGTTTACAATCCAAAACATACAATGTCGTTTACCGCACCATATTTTCAAAGTGGTTAACTTGTAGGAAATGAGAAGATAAACATATAATTTAATCTTGCTTGTAACAAGCATTGTCATAGGCTCAAAAATTGATGTTATTAGCCCATAACGTAAAAAATGTCGTCGCCGTTTGCAACGTTGCTTTTGATTGGCTGATACAGCGGCGTTATAATTTCTAAGAGAAAAGAGTCCATCAATAAAAGTGGATTTCCACAAGGATTGTGTATAGTAGATAAAATTATAAGTGTTGACTTTAATATGTTTTTTTATGTTATGGAGATATAACACAAAAAACTGGAGTGTACTCTCATCGGTTTATTTAGAGTATATTTCGTTTTTTTGTCTTAAATGATATATGCCATATTTAATTTCGTGGCCTCACTTTATTGAAGAGTTCCACACTTTGTCAGGTAATTTTAAGTTAGTAAATGAAATGGAAACTGAAGACATATCTAAAAGTTTAAAAGAATAGTTGCATAAATAATTCTCAAATAATTACGTTATATTTTAAATGTTGTTTTTACCACAAATGGCTCGATTTTGAAACTACCAGGCCACCTCATACAAAGGAAAAATAATGGTTAAGTACAGGTGTTTATCAATCGGTCTATTAACGCCTCCTGTCATTTTTGGTTAGAAAGAACATCCACATCCTCACCATTGTTCATCATGTCTATCTTAAGCTTACTGTCGTTAATTATTTAGAAATTTAATTTAACAAAGAAAACTCAACCTGAAGCTGGTTTTTCTAAACAATTTGAAAAAACCCTCTATCAAATTGAATAAGCATGATAAACAACAACAGGTTGGGAAATTCCTTATTTATGGAGATAGCACAAAGGAAAAGTTCAGGTATAATGTTAAAACTAGAGCCAAACTTCACTGATCTTGTCACCGCTAAGTCGGTCGCCCTTTATATCCAGCCTGGTTATAGAGAAGAAATTGTGGTTTCTTCTAAAGTTTTTCCTAGTATATATCACCTAACCCTAACCCTAACCCTAGTAACCTTTGGATTCCATCCTCCAATCTTTCTGATTAGACATAGCTTGACTGATATACCAAGGGTTCATTGTTAATATTAAACGTTTTAATTTCAAAGGAATTGGTTACGGTATGATGACACTAACAGCTGTGTTAGGATTGTATTACACTGTCATCATCTCCTGGACCCTGTACTATTTTGGGATGTCCTTTTCATCTACCCTCCCGTGGTCGACATGTGATAACGAATGGAACACGCCGATGTGTTCCGCAAGGACCAAGTGGGCTACCAACGGAACAGGAAATTCTACCATGATGAAAAATCTTACAAATGCTGCTTCTCATGCATTTCTAAATGGGACGGCTTTGAAAACGCCACCAGAGGAATTCTGGGAGTAAGTAAACAACTGTTTATTACTCACAAGCACCCAGATGTTCAAACGTGCTCTAAATGTGTTAATATATCATCTTACTTAATACACTAGAACTTAAGAAGTAGAGTATATATTTTCATATAAATTCAAAGAAAAGTGTATTACTTTTCAAAAGAGAATAACATTGTTAGATTTTCCAAAATAACAACACACACACACGGAAAGAATGGAAGGGAGACAACCTATGTTTGTTTTAGATTCTGTTAAAGCTCGAATTTCTTAGTATCATTTGCAATTAACATGTACTATGAAAAACTGATTACCATTTTTCACAAACAAGAATATCTCGCTATGGAAGCAATCCTGTGAGTAGTATTGTCATTGCCAAAACCAAATGGCATCCGACGTCAACGTTGACAATATAAACTCATTTTATAATATGGCCTAACTGACGCACTTTTTCATCGAAGATACTTTATGGACAGGAACCATAATTTTTTTATCACAAAAAACGTAGAATTTATAATACTCCATTGATTAATTTTACGTAACCATGTATATTTTACTTATTTGGTACCATACGACTATATTTCCACAAATAATGAGTAATATATATGACTTATCGAGAAATGCATATGATATGTATAAGGCAACTATATGTCGGTATTGGCTGTTGATGGATGATAAATTTCCGACGGTATCATAAAACTTGTAATCAATTTTACTACTTGATTTTCAAAAATCACAATTTACTCCATAAAACGTTTTGAACTGAAAAAAAAACTCGAAATGAGGATTAAATGTCCAACATTTCTCTGTTCAATTATCGATGCCATTCAATACAGAAAGAATGTCTTGGAGCTTACAGAAGGGATCCAGACGCTGGGTACGGTCCGCTGGGAGCTTGTTCTGTGTGGCTTGGTCACGTCCGCCATCATATTTCTCTGTCTCATAAAAGGAATTCATACATCTGGAAAGGTATTTATACAATAAGAAACTTCAATAAATATATCATAATCATTTCAATTTTTGGTTCCTTTTTTTCTGAGAATCAGCATGGAAGAGAAGGTAGTGCTGATAAAGTATTCATTTTTGTATATTTATTTATTATTAATGATTATGATAAATATTAAAACGGTGTATACCTATATAGATGATGATGATGATGATGATGATGATGATGATGATGACAATTGATTTGTTGAATAGGTGATGTACGTAATGGCGACGGTTCCCTACGTGTTCCTGTTGACTCTACTGATTCGGGGTCTTACTCTTCCAGGATCTTTGCAGGGGCTGAAGTATTACATGGTGCCAAGATGGGAGGAGCTGCTCAAATTTTCCGTAAGTCCTGACTTGTATCAAAATATTGACACCTTATATAAACTTAGTTTTGCGCATCATGAGATAGATCCATCAACCGTGTTGCTGTTATTTTGAAGAAACTTGTATAAATCACATGAATATAGTGTGTTCAGTGCATACTCTCTTGTCACATAACTCTGCCAATGAACGTATGTCATTTGCACTATTATGATGCTATAAAAATAAAAAATATGTTTTTAGATTTCGTGATTACATTTGTTATGTCATAATGGGGGGCAATAATTTTAAGCCAAAATGGCAGACGTTGAGAATTTCTTTACATTCTTAGATGTGTGATCAAACGCATCTTAAAATAGCTTCCACTGCATACATGATTTATGAAACTATTATGATTTTATAAAAATTAAGTTTTCAAGTGGCTCACTAAAATGATTTAACAGTTAACAGACTTATGTCAAGAAATGGAAACTCCTGTAAATCCTATATATATCATCAGTGTTATTCAGCATCACATCCCCGCGATTTAACATTTGGGTATCACACTTTTGTGATTTTATGGCAGCATTAATTATTATTGGATTTTTTGCGTTAAGATGAATCCGTGAACTGAACAAAACAGCGAATATGGTTGTTTAAGAAGCACTACATATCAACAATATCGAAACCACAAGTCAATAAAGAGCGAGTTCGTGCTTGTCAATATAACTGGGAGGATAGAACAGCGAGAAATCAAATTGATGTACATGTGTGATGGTATCAGTGAAATCCTTCATTATACTACAAAGGTGTGGGTGGATGCCGCCACACAGACCATCTACTCCCTCGGTTTACCTTCAAGTGCACTCATTGCTTTGGCCAGCCACAATAAGTTCCATAACAACTTGTACAGGTATGTTATAATAAATTTGGTATACACATTAGCTTACGATTTAACATTAATTTTGAGCATAGAACATTCAAATTAACTCATGTTAGTCATAAATTGAATTACATTGCTATTCAAATGTGAAGTAACCGACGATAATAAAACTCAAAATGATAACAAACTACCTATTATTTTATCTCATTAAAGGCATATATCTTTTATAACAATTCAGACAATGTTATATGTGCCATTATTTTCAGATTTTGTCATTATTTAAATCAATAGCATTTACGATTTGTACATGATGTTTAATTTAAATAATCGCTTTTATTAAGATATTGGCGGGTATCTGTTTTTGCATCTGAAGAGTAAGAATTTAAAATCTAAGGAACTTTATTTTTAACATGTCCCAGCGTTATGATAACAATAATATCTAACCTAAAGCTAATTTCCCTTCATACTATTAGAATTCAATATACAACCAACTGTTAAAATTGACATATAAACAAGGTTATTGACATATTGCAGTAACACTTAATTTGATACAGGTGTATTTGATGATAAGCATTAAGGAATAACCAGGATTGTTTGAAAATACTGGATGCACTTTGCATAAATCCGCGAAGCAAGTCTCTGGCAATCTTTTGTTCTTAGCAAAATGATAATTCTTCTCAAACACTTCTAATTGTTTGTTTTTTGTCATAGATATCACTAGACTATAGCTATTGTTTCAACTGTTTACCTGATCTATTGAATGACGACGTTTCCAACTACCTATACCTAGATATGCATGTGTGACTGTGTGTATTGTGTTTTAGAGATGCAATTATACTCGCGGTATGTGACGCCTTCACCAGTTGGTTCGCTGGGTGTGTGGTGTTTGTCACGTTAGGCTACATGGCACAGGAGGCGAACTTATCTATCAAAGATGTAGTGGACCAAGGTAGGTTTATATTTTCGAAATCTTCCCAAAACAAGGAACAGAATAGAGCAATTCAATGTAACCTAAATGTCACAGATCACCTCGAAATAAATTTCGACTTCAAATTTTTTAAACTTTTTAAATAGATGTCAATTGGAACCAAATCATCTGAACGAAGAAAGTTCATAATTCGAACAAATATTAAAACCATCCATGGATAACCGCTACTTTTAGTGTACTTTTTCCAGGACCTGGAGTGGCGTTCATTGTGTACCCGGAGGCCTTGGCTACTCTCCAGCTACCTCAGCTCTGGTCGGCTCTCTTCTTCTTCGTTCTTTTCACTGTCGGCCTCGATTCTCAGGTGAACTTACAATTCCATGATCTGGGGTTTGTTTGATAATTTATTCCTATTACCAATAATTAGCTCAGATATTTAGTTCAATTACTTAGTGTCGCTGTACAAATAAATTACACATAGCAGATGCGGAATTCTTTATCAATTTGGAATGTTTAAAAAATGTAAGGTTACCCCTCTACCAAACTGCCGGACAAACGTGACGACTTCCGGAACACGTTATGTCGCTTCGCTGTTTAGTTGAGATATCTCCTTTCTGTTGTTGTGGTATCCTTCCGTCCTTGACGGCGCTCGTATCAAGTTCCATTTTCGTACTTGTGTGTTGACACTATGTTTATAACAAGAATGAACACCTGTTAAAAAACTGCAAAAACAATATTGTTTGATACCGTTTAGTCTATAGACAAAGTGACAAACTATTTCAGATCTCCTTCGTTTCTTTTGAGCTTTTTTGAATGCGTCAATAACACATATATAACATATTAACCTCTTTGTTTTAAAGGTAGTACATATACAGTTACTATACACTGGCCTATCAGACAGCTGGCCGAAGATATTCGGCCGCAGTCGACTAATGACCGTAGGAGGCATCATCGTGGTATCTGCATTAGTAGGGATAATATTCACCACACAAGTAAGTATCTGATGTTCTTACCAGTAATACGCATTGCTATTGGTTCACTAGAAATTGTTATATTGACATGAAATTTTCTTTTTTTACTTTTGTGTTTCCTTTTTAAGTGACTTAAAAATTTGAATACACGTATATCCTATTCATTTAACTCTTATATCATATTCAATGTCAGTTATGTTTTGCTTTCAATATTTCTTTGTTTAACATTTTACAGGTTATTATAGAAAAGGGAAATATTATTACATTAGTGCGGTAATATACAACCATGTAACTTAAGTGACAAAGACAATTTATCATGATTTACAAGCAAGTTCAGTATATTTTTTCACTTTCAGGGAGGCATGTACGTGGTACAGCTAACAGACTGGTACGTTTCCAGTTTATCACTTATGGTGCTTGTAGGGATGGAGGTCACCGTTTTAGCCTGGATATACGGTAGGAATAGTGTTTTTGTATATGACGCCAAATATGAATGATGTTGATTAATTATAATAACCATCACATCTTTAGTTTATTTATTACTTCCTCATTGCTTTATCAGGAAAGCAGATTTTATTTAATTTTATTTTGCTGTTGTGATCATTTGACATCAGTGTTATCATATTTTTGTTATGAATTACACAAAATGTAGCTTAAACTTTTCCATTTGTTTATTAGCTCACCTGGCACGAAGTGCCAAGTGAGCTTATGCCGTGGTGCGGCGTCCGTCGTCCGTCCGTCCGTCCGTCGTCCGTCGTCCGTCCGTCGTCCGGCGTCAATATTTTACTTTAAACGACTTCTTCTTAATAACCTAAAGGCCTAGGGTGATGATATTTGGCCAGAAGCAAACTGGGATGAAGGGCTACCATGTTTTTTCAAATAAATGACCTTCATCTATTTTCAAGGTCACAGGGGTCAAATATGTTAAAAACTTTAAACAACTTCTTCTCAATAACCAAACTGCCCAGGGAGATGATATTTGGTCAGTAGCATGCTAGGGTGAAGGGCTACCAA